ACACACACACACACACACACACACACACACACACACACACACACGTTCTCTTCCTGTATCTCTCTTTCACACACACACACAGGCACTTTCTCTTCCTTCACACACACACACACACACACTTTCTCTTCCTTCCTTTTCCCACCAAGTCGGATGGGGTCCTTGCAAGGCCATCAGTACAGATACAACCGGCCCTTTGATGGGGACCAAACTGCTGATGCGGCCCCCGATGAATTTGAGTTTGACACCCCTGACATAAGCATTCCACCCCATTCCCAAGGACCAAATGGTAATCTAATAATAAACATTAACAAGAAAGAAAACCACCAGGCATGTATTCATGATCATCTTAGAACTGCAGAGCTGGAAGGGACCCTATGGATCATCAAATCTAGCCCCTGTCAAGAGGCACAATAGGGAATTGAACTCCCAACCTCTGGCTCCACAGCCAGATACCTAAACCACTAAGCTATCCAGCAGATAATCTACAATTACAATTCATTTTTCCTGAGTCCAATAGTTTAAATCATAAATGATAAATAATCTTTCCATTTTTCCAATTGTATAGTTAGTAATGCTGGCATGGGACTCATTGGACCAATTGAATGCCAAACTATTGAAGAGATGCAGAATGTGATGGATACAAATTTCTTCGGACTGGTCCGACTGCTGAAGGAGATTTTACCTGATATGAAAAAAAGGAAGAGTGGGCATATCATAATTATTAGCAGTGTTATGGGAATACAAGGTAACATACAGTTGATTATTGCAGTATGTTTTTTTTCACTCAAAGGGCTTTTTGAAACATCACCATTCTATCTCTGGCCCTCTGATCTCCCCTTCATTGTTGTATCCATATTTCCCAGAGTTAATTCTGCTTCTAATGAAGCATTTACTAATGCTAGAACGTTTAGTACTGGTTTTCTGAGTTTTGATTCAGCACAAAGTCAGTGTGGATTCCTCCTATTTCCCTGACACTCTTAATCCAAGTAAAATCAATGTGGCATAGCTGTCAGCTAGGTTTTCAGGCAGTTAATGCTAGAACAAGGATCAAGTACAACTAAGACCTTCATTCTGCACATAAGTGAAGAGCACTGACATTGAACATGGTGGATGATGGGGGGAAAAGTCTATTTTATTTATGTAGTTGCTCCATTTTGTAAATCATCTTTTCCACAATACATTTGAGGCTGTCCTCCTCCTTGCTTTGCCCTAACAATAACCTTTGTGAAGGAGGTCACACTGAAAGAGAGAGGCTGACCCAAGGAAACGCAGTGATTTTGCATAATCCCAGTCCAACGGTGTACAGAAAGGACAACACACTGGTTCATTACTTTGCCAACACAATGTCATCATCTGTGGCATTATGACCCGGGACATTATGTCACTGTAGCCATGTAACAGTAAGCAGGAACTGCAGATATTGTGCCAAGCTGTGCTGAAACGAAGGCCAGAGCCGCTGCCTCCTGCTGCGCTGAGGCAGCAGCAACATTGGCCTTAACATTAGGCAAAGAGAGACAACTGTCCCAAGAGTCAGGCATTTCTACAGAGCTATCAAGATGTTCCCATCTATAGGAGGACAGAACAGTGTAGGCCACATGCCCTGTCTGCAGTCTTAGCAAGACTAACCTGCACTCTCAGATGTGGCAGGAAACAAAAAACCCACCCGTGTGTGTGAGTGAGTGTTAACATTGGCCTTAACATTAGGCAAAGAGAGACAACTGTCCCAAGAGTCAGGCATTTCTACAGAGCTATCAAGATGTTCCCATCTATAGGAGGACAGAACAGTGTAGGCCACATGCCCTGTCTGCAGTCTTAGCAAGACTAACCTGCACTCTCAGATGTGGCAGGAAACAAAAAACCCACCCGTGTGTGTGAGTGAGTGTTATGTGCCATTCTGCACTCTCAGATGTGGCAGGAAACAAAACCCCACCCGTGTGTGTATGTGAGTGACTGTTGTGTGCCATTAGGTTGGGGACAAAGCTACAGAGACCTTAGTATGGCTTTCAAGGCAAGTGAGATATTTCAAGAGTGCTTTTACCAGTTCTTCACAGCAAGTTTCCATGACTGAGCAGGGATTCCTGCGTCCTAGTCTGTCACTCTATCCACTACACCACACTGGGCACCCACCTACTTCAGTTCAGTCACACACACACACACACCCCGGTACATGGAAGAGGGGGAAAGGGAAGGACACAATCTTGTACTTCTCAGCTAACAAAAATGCTTTCAATCAATACAACATATTGGCAACACAGTGGGAGACTTACATTTTATGGAGTCACAAACTCTTTTTTTTGCCAGTGATGAAGAGGGAACATAATAAATGTGTATGCCTCACTAGACAGAATTTTTTTTCCAAATACATTTCCCAACAATGAGCACTAGTCTCTAGTGATATATACATATACTGTACTGAGCCACCACATGATTTAAAGATATTGTGTGAAACTAACCAGAGTTTAGCAATAGTTTTTAATTTCAGACAGAATGACAAACCATGATTTAAAGAAAGAAGCCTTTGAACTCCTTCTGGCTACACAGGAAGAGGTGAAAGGGAAAGGGGACTTGTGTAAGCCTGAGAGGAAGCTTGGATTGTTCATATCTCATTAAAGCTTTTGAGATGGAACCAATGAGTGAAATCATCAGTGCTTTTTCATGGCCATATCAGTGATTCTCTAAGAATTTGAATGAAACTAAAATAACTATTTATACTAATAACAATGTTAAATAAACTGAACTTATCATAGGTTATCTTAGGTGGGATCTTCCCCTCCCCAATTATCATGACTTCATTCTAAAATTCTAGAAACCTACAGTACAAGACAACTAGCCCATCACTAATGCTCATTCTTTCTCTCTTTAATCTGCAGGCATTTTATTCAATGATGTTTATGCTGCATCTAAATTTGCAGTGGAAGGATTCTGTGAAAGTTTAGCCATACAGGCACTCAAGTTTAAACTTAAGTAAGTACCAGCCTGATTCATATGGGAGGACCTTAATTTATAAAATAGGAGACCAGCGATTGTATCTTTCCTGTATAATGGAACTGTAGATGTTATGTGATGCTAAGGGCCTGTCCAGATTGGCTGTTTTGGTTTGGCCTGGATTGGGTTACAAAGGGTTGGTTGAGGTCACGGGGAGGGCCAATGTACCATTTGACACACTCCTCCTGTCCAAATGGCGTATCAACCTTCAGCTTGTTCTGCTATCAGTTAAGCACTTCCCCTGATCATCTGCAGAGGGTCAGGGGAAGTTAATTTTTTTTACATAATCTTTTTCCAGAACATGGAAATAAATTTATTACTTTATTTGACCAATATTGGGGGGGGGGGACTCTTTAAATCTAACCTTTAAAAACAAATGTTTTAAAAGAGAAGGACATGGCAGTTTACATTTCCCTTTTTCAAAGGGTAAACTGTCTATACTTTGTTTTAATAAGTATATTTATAGTAGATAGCTCAACATTGGCCCTATAAATGCATTTGGACTACAATGTCCAAAAGTTTGAGTTAACACAGGGAAGAGTCTGTGGTATTTCTTTGGGATTCTGGGACCATTTAAGAATTACATACAAAGCCCTGAATGGGTTAGGACCTTGATACTTGGCGGAACGCCTCCTCCCACCTAGATCTACCCGTACCACTCGATCCAGTCAGGAGGGGTGACTGAGGAGCCTAACGCTGAGGGAGGTCTGGAAAGAAAAACAAGACACCAGGCGTTCTTGGCAGTGGCTCCTTTCCTTTGGAACAAACTCCCCTACAAGATCCGTTTGGCCCCCTCGTTGGGCATTTTTCCCATCTTGAACTATTGTTTTCATTGTATGCTGCTGTAAAACCGTTACTATATATTAACTGTTTTTATCTTGTCTGTTGTGAGCCGCCCAGACTAGACAATGTCTAGATGGGCGGCATATAATGCAATCAATCAATCAATCAATCAATCAATCAATCAATCAATCAATCAATCACATTATTTCCCCCTTCTCCCCAAACAGGCTAACTCTGATAGAACCAGGCCCAGTGCTCACAGAATTTGAAAAGAAGGTTTTCGAAGATGGAATGAAAATGGATCTTTCAGCCACCGATGAGGAAACAGCAGACATGTTTGTAAATATTTACCTGAAAAATTACAAGCAAATTTTCGAGACCTTAGGACAAACAGCTGGTGACATAGCAGAGGTAATACGTTAAAAGCAGGGAACGGAGGGTACGGGTGTGTGCTGCACAACAGTACTTTCATTGCTAGCCAGGAATGATTCAGGGCCAATGACAGCAGCCACAGCTAAGCTGTGAGCCACGCTACAGCGTACTCTTTTGTACAGCTGGATCCTTCTATTGACATAGGTGTCAGCAGTGGCTACACAGAGGGGCACTTCCATGCATAAGCTCTTAAAATTCGGATGGGATCCCAAAGATGTGTTGACATAAGTGCTTGTCACAAAGGTGTGTGTGTGTGTTTGTGTTTCGTTTTTGCAAACTCCCTCTGCACTCTGAAAATCCATTTCAAGGGGCTGGGAAAACCTCTGGGTCAGGTATTCATGGAAAGCAAAGAGTTTCAGGAGATGTCCACTAGCTAAACATTAGATTTAGGCCCATAATAGCTTCCTTGTAAGAGCATAATAGTTCATTGGCAACTATAGCATTCTCCAACTTCTCAAAAGCTTTTCAAATCATTCTCTCAGCAGTCGCAAATAGAAAGGGCCTCAGTGACTGCCTCTTATTTCTGCTCCTACAATAAACTCACAGTCCTTTTTGTTGCAGCAGCCTGAGCAAGTTGAAAGTAATGATGGATTAAAACGTTGGTTATTCTTCCTGAAGTTATTTTGCCACCTTCTGTTCTCCTATATCCACCCCATCCCATTTGTATACTGTAATTGTATTTTCAGTCTGGGATGACTACAGAATGCTCCTCTCTATTGCCAGCTGGCGCAACTTATGACGCCTTGTTTTTTTCATTCCAACAGCATACGGTAAAAATAATTCTGGCAGAAAATCCACCTTTCCGTCACCAGACCAACGCATTATACACTCCCATGACAACGCTGAAATATGCTGACCCCAATGGAGACCTTCCAATTGACACCTTCTACAAGATGGTTTTTCAGCATGACAAGATATTCAGTGCAAGCCTTAACTTCATTAAATTGCTGAGATGGAAAAGCAAAAAATCCTTTGACTTGGGAGGGACATCTTCCCAGTGAAGAAGGATTTCAGTGGGTTCTTTGGGAGGTCGCTCACTTCCTCTGCAGAAAGAATTTCTGGGTAGAGGAAGAGGCAACAAAAGCATCTGAAGTGGCCCTGGCGGAATTTTTATTTGAGAATGTGCTTCCAACTTGCAGGCATTAGTTTCTGATCTTACCTCCTATTTAGTCTCATATTCTACTACAATACTGAATAATACAAGCATAAATATGCCATTTCAACCACCCATGAAGTAAACAAGTGAATCTGTAGGACCTGCCTGTCACAGCTGTGGGCCACCTTGAGGTTAAAAAAACAAATAAGTGTGTACATTCATGAATGTTACATGGCAAAGGGAGAAGGGTTAAGCCTTCCTAATCAGTTATGGTACTACTCCAGAGAGTTATTTTGCCCACAAACACAGATTTAAAAAAAATGAAAAGAATTTCCACCCAGAAGCCCAATACACATCTCATGAGGTCTTTTTGACCCTAGCCTGTGTCTTTTCCGTTTTCTCAACATAATCCTCTTATAGGCACTTTACTGTATCTCATCTTCACGATGAAATGAACCACCTTAAATGTTGCTTCCACCCATATCGCCTTCTTGCTTTTGTGAGGATTTTGTATTTGCTGCCTCCATGGCTGGTGAACTCGTGGCTTTTCATATATTGTTGGTCTCCCAATTCCCCTGAGCCCTTGATAGCATGGCAAATTGCAAGGAATGATGGAAGCAGTATCTGCTGAACATCTGGAATGTCATAGGTCCCTTAGCTCTACCCTGTCAGAAGCAAAGTCCACTGTTCCCCTGCAGCTGTTAAAAAGTAGCTTCATACCTAACTTTTGTTTACAGACCTGAATTTCCATTTTGGATTTTACATTAATTCTATAATCTTACATAGATATAATCTGCATTGTACTTGCACTGTGAAGCCCTAATTTTTATTTTCATTTCAAAGGGATTGTGATGAAATGTTGGAGTGAGTTGCACCCATTGACCCCAATTCAGCTGTATTCACCCATCTAACACGTGCTCATGTTGTACCAGATTTTTCCAATGGAAAAATGCAAGGCTTGACAATACATGGATGTGTATTTAATTTATGTTGCAGTACTTCATACAGAAATACATGTGAAACTCATTAGCAAAACTGTGTTTGAATTGTTTTTCAAATGCTAACACTACCAAGTTCCAGGTACTATAACTGTCTGTAAGATAATCTCAAAGTTAGAAATACATGAAGTTTACTTAAGTAATATTTTGAGGCAATTCTGTGCATTTTCTCTCAGCGGTCATTTTTTAAGAAGAAGGAGTTTTAGAATTCAGAATTTTAAAAAAGTGGTTGAGCCATGAAACGTACACCAATAAAATAGGTAGTAGACTGTAGCCTGGAACAGCTTGATCTTCCTTTACCTGTAAGGAGAAAGGGATATACAGTACAAGAAAAGGGTAGTGCCCAGTTAAACTTGCCAGCATTTCCATTACCACCAGTTCTTCTAAGAATAGACAAATATTGCAGTGTTAAGTTAAGGTATATTGTTCCAGAGGATGAACAAGTTAACCATGCTTAAATTACTATGTTCCAAGAATAGTACTGTATTGTCATTTACATGATTCGACTTGGCTTTTTTTTTAGAGCAAAGTAGCCTACCTCCTCTCAGGAACCAGGGCAAAGCTAGGGTTGCAAGATACATGGGTACCAAAAGGAGGACATAGAAAGACAAAAAGGAGGACAGAGGAGGACGAATTGAATGTTTCATTTGAATCATTCCAGATTAAACTCACAATCAATAATTTTCTTACAATAGCTGCCAATAAATGTCTCTTAGTGAACCGACCAAAAAACAGTCATGTTAAAAAATAAAAATTAATTCAGTGGAGGCTTTTTTTTCAAAATACCAAAAAACATTATTTAAACCACCAATTGTACCCGAACCCATCCTGGCCCGGCTGCTGGATCCCCTGGCCGCTCGCACTCTGCACAGGCTCAGAGGCAACCTTGCTAATCTGGACACCCAAACAAAGCTCTGGCACAGGCAGGGGGAAAGCGGCACCAGGCAAAACTGAATGAGGCAGCCTCCCCTCCCCCGAGGGTCATAAGTTCAAGGCTGGGGAGTTTGGGAGTTGGAGTCCCTGAAAGGGACTTCGAACACACACAGTCCGGGCGCTCCCCTTCCCATTGATGCACTTGGGGGGATTGGCGAGCAGCTGCGGCGGCAGGGGGAGGAAGTGCTCCAGCGCCAGTGGCAGGTGGCGGGGTGGGCAAGCAGGTAGGGGCGGGGAAAGCCAGGGGGAACGGGGTCCTTCCACCTCTCCCCCTCCCAACCAAAATTATAACATAAAATATACAAAAGCCTGACATTTTAAAGGTTTTTATCTTTGCCTGCCTGACGGAGGACATTAAGCTAAAAAGGAGGACATGTCCTCCTTTTGCCTGATATTTGGCAACCCTAGCCCCGAGGGACCTTGGGTCCAAACCCAGAGCATCCTTCAGTAATGATATCTCAACGGGACACATGACTTTGCTCACATGTCCCGTGGCAGGCTCTTCCTCCTGTTCTCCCACATCCCCAATAAGGGGTGGACTTTTTTCTGACCCTTACCTCTCGTCTTCCCGTCTCGCCCCAGGCTGTAGAGAGGCTCCATCGGCTCCGGTGGGCAGAAAGGTTCACGCTCAGGCCTCTGCGCATGGAAGTAAACCTCTTCCTCTTGAGGAGCTTGCTGATTGTTCTCGCCCTGCAAACCCTGACAAACCAAGGATGAGCAGGGTGCTGGTATGTGCTGCACCCCACCCATCCTTTCCCAAAGACTCCAAAGAACCTGTAGAAAAAACTCTGGCAGCAGCTACACCAGAAGTCTACTCTGGGTTTCACATTTATGGGTGTGACGCTGTAAATTCCCACTGGGAGCCCCCAAAGCAGCCTTCAGTTTTCACTTCACATAGGAGGGCTTGCTTTAAATCAGGGTGGGGAACCTTTCCTTGGCCCAAAGACCACATTCTGATCTGGCCAGTCACTCAGGGGCTGCGCATACCCCCGCAATCGCACCTCAACAGCAAGGGGAAAAAACTATAGAAAAAAAAGATGGTGTCGTCCACCAGTGAAAAAACGGTGCCACCGGTCCCAGCTGCTCTCCTACCGTAACTGCGTCAACTTTAAGCCTATTCCACCTTATTTAGAGGTCAGTGACTGGTTGCATTGTTTATATCTGTGGAAAATAGCATCTTCTCAACATAAACCGATTCAAAAAGCCTTCACTTGGATGAAGTACTTCCCGGATTCTTTCTCGTTTAAGTAGAAACTAGGAAGTCAGAAACTAGGAAGCCTAATCCACATGAAAACATCCTTACCAGCGAAGGTAAAAATAATAATAACAAAATTTTGCATAAAAATAAATGATGTAAACAATAGTTAACTACTTAATAAAATTAACCTTTACTTTATTTATTATATTATATTACTAAAAAAACCCACAACGATCCAGGATTGAAGAAACACAAGAAACAAAAATTCAGACAGTGGATGGAGGGAAGGCGGTACAGTATATATTTAAAATCAAGGCAAACACAATGGAAGAGCAGGTAGGAGCCACCCTGCCTTTCTTTCAGTGGTGGATTCCACCATGTATTTTGGAGGAGGCTAAGCTTTATCTGTTCAGGTTAAATCATTATATGGTCCATGTCCTCACTTGCAGAAACTGATTAAACACTGAGTGAACAAAGAGAAAAGAAAGCCAGAAATGATAGCCAGAACTCAGCCTGAGGTCCTGTTCAGTCTCCAGCTGCATGCTGACCCTGTGAAGGACTGGGCCATAGAAACCCTTGCCTGGTTGGCGTGAGCACAGCTTCGAACGTGAAGGGGCTCCAGCGCCAGGCTCTCTGACCTGAAATCTTACTGTAGGTTGGTTGTGTTTGTCATCTGAGCCACTTCCTCCAGAGTCACCCTAGGCAAAGCTGACTCCTGCCTATTTAGAAGCTGATGCAAGCATAGAACTGTAAAAGATACTAACCTGGATAGTTTGGCATTGATTTCAAATAATTCTTAAATAAAATGTTTCTCCTCTTTTTGTTATCTGTGCTGGCTGAGTAGACTAGTTTTTTTTTTTTTGAAAAAGCTGAGGCAGATAATTATTTTCACAGTACTTCAGTGGTGATAGTATTCATGACTTATTTCTATAAAAGCTGTGTCATCCATTGCTTATTTATAATTACTTTCTTACTATCCTGCCTTTCTTTCAGAAGAGGACCCAAGGTGGCTTATAAAGGACTAAAACATATATGCCAGTAAAATCAATGAATTACAGTTTCACTACACAATTAAAGATATAGTAATATTAAAATGCCACCCTTTAAAAAGTTTAAAACCAGTTAAAATGCATAATAAAATAGTCAAGATGTCCTGCACCCCACTAAAACTCATTTCTCACCAGAGCATTCTATAACATAAGGCCTGTTTAGAAAAGGGGTTTTATCTGCTGGTAAGAAGAGACTAGAAAGGGGGCCAGTTTAGAGGCTGGCAACATGACAGTATGTCTCACATTGTAGCTTCCTGTTGGCATGGTTGGGATTGTTCTATAGAGTGCCGAGTAGACAATGTTCTTGTTAAAGCGATCCAGGCCAACCATGTAGGAGGAATGATCCATTCCAGACTGGTCTACCAAGGAGTCTACTGTTTATTTGAAGTGATTAGGACCATCACAATAAAGACAGTTTTCCACTCGGTGTGATCAACTGAATTGCTCCAAAGTGGTGTCAGGAAGAGGGGGCGGTTTGTCCTTCAGTGACTTTGTGGCGAGATCTAGAGGTGGGTGTGCATATAAAGAATGTAATGAAACACACAAACTCAAGAGAGGAAAATATATTTTATTGTACCATTGTTCATTACCATTTAATAACTCACCTTTTCTCTAAAATGTTCAGGATAGTGCCTTTTCCATCATCCCTGACTCTTATTCTCTCCTAACAATGATGGTGAGAGTCAAAACTAAGCTGGAACATAGTGTGGAGGCCACACATACTTAAAAGACTCTGAATCGTGGGTCCAGTACTATCCACAATGCTTAAAAATTTATTTTTCGGTAGGTTTTTCTCACTGTAGTGGGATTTACGAGGGGGTGCTAATAAGTATTGAGCCTTTCCCAGAAAAAAATGAGCTAGAAAGCTATAAATTGCAGTGTGCATTGGCCAATTTGTCTGTATTCAGTGGTGCAAAAATCAACTACCTATGATTTTAACTTATATTTCATGTTCAGCTTCAAAGTGAACATGGCAGCACCTCCAGAAAAGTTCAGTGTGGAAGAGCATAGGACCATAATCAAGTTCCTGTTTCTCCAAGGGAAAGGTGCAAAGCAGATCCATGATGAAATGTCACAAACTATGGGTAACATGAAATGGCCCTTCATAAGCAACAGTAAAACGTTGGGTTGTCAATTTTAAAACTGGCCATTTCAGTGTTGAAAGTGAGAAACCCAGTGGAAGGCCTGTTTTTGTCTCTGTGCCTGCAAATGTGAAAGCCATCCATGACATGATAATGGAGGACCGCCGAATATCATCCAAAAGCATTGCTATATATCTGAGAATATTACGTGAGAGTTGGTGCCATTATCCACAACGACTTGGAAATGAGAAAGCTGGCAACAAAGTGGATCCCCAAACTTTTGACAACTGAACAAAAGAGGAAATGTGTGGAGTCATCAGTGGCTGTTTTTGAACACTGTGCAAGAAATGAGTCAGATTTCCTGGGCAAACTGGTTACTGGTGATGAGACACAGATCTACTGTTATGATTCTGAGACAAAGGAACAGTCTAAGGCAGTGATGGCAAACCTATGGCACATGTGCCACAGCTGGCATGCAGAGCCCTTTCTTCTGACATGTGAGTCATAGGTCGCTACTCTCCCCCGCCCCACCTGCCCAGCCAAACCTCATGAGGCGGCTGCAGCTGGGATTCCTCCTTCCACAGCCACTTCCACGTCTGTCGCCATGATTCTCCTTTAAACCACCACTTCCAGTTCCGAGTCATCTGACGTCTGTCGCCATGATTCTCCTTTAAACCGCCACTTCCAGTTCAGAGTCCTCTGGGTCCGTCAGCATGATTCCCCTAAACTGCCACTTCCAGTTCCGGGCCCTCCGGGTCCATCACCATGATTCCCCCTTAAACTGCCACTTCCAGTTCCGGGCCCTCTGGGTCCATCACCATGATTGCCCCTTAAACCGCCTCTTCTGGTTCCAGTGGTATGCCACCCACTGTCTCCCCCTCCCATTGTGGGCACACGAGCCCCAAAAGGTTTGCCACCTCTGGTCTAAGTAATGGAGGCACAGTGGTTCCCCCAGGCCAAAGAAGTTCTGAGTTCAAAGGTTTGTGCAGAAGCAAATGGCAACAGTTTGTTGGGATAAGAAGGGAGTTCTGCTGGTGGACTACCTCCAACAGGGTTCAACCATCAATGCAAAACATTACTGTGCTTTATTGACGAAGTTGAGGCAAAACATCAAGGAAAAAACGTCAAGGAAAGCTCTCCAAAGGTGTCATCCTGTTGCATGACAATGCCTCGTCACACACTGCAGGTGAAACAATGGCAAAACTGACGTCCTTAGGCTTTCAGGTGATGCCCCATCCACCCTATTCTCCCGACCTGGCTCCTTCTGACTATTATCTGTTCCCCAAACTCATAAAACACCTAAAGGGGCAACGATTTGGGACTGTTCTGGAGGCAACTAATGCTGCAAAGGAGTGGTTACACCAGCGGCCGGAAGAATTTTGCAGTATTTGCAAGGACTTAAGAAGCTGCAGGACAGATGTCGCAAGTGCACTGACTTCCTGGGAGAATATGTAGAATAGTGAGGCAGGTACAGCTTCCCGGCTTAATTTTTTCTGGGAAAGGCTCAATAGCTATCAGCACCCCCTCGTACTTCCGTGTAGACATGCAAAGAACTGTGTAGTTGGTTGGCCTCACGTTACCATAGTCTCTCGAGACTAAAGGATGCCAACATGTGCTCCGGAATCTTTACAGTATTTATATTTCTTCAACAAGTGACAGAAAAGGAAATACGAAATAGGAGCTATTTTAAGGGTTAAGGGTTTATGTTCTGTCTCTCTCTCACACACACACAAAGTTGTGAAAAGACAAAGAGACAAGGTGGTGATCCTTGTCCCGACTAAACCCCAATCTAGATATATTTGCCTCTCTATGCTTCTCAGCCCACCATCCTGAGCCAACTTCCAGCACCAACGAGAGAGAGAGCCAGAAGGGCCTCGCGCAACGAAGTAGGTGGGGGAAGGGGAGGAGGAGAGGGTTTGGCGCATGCGCAGACTGCCAGGGGCTCTGGATTCCACGCGGGTTAAGCGGCTGGATTCCCAAAGCAATAAACAAACAGGTTCGTGGCTAAGGCTGTGTGGAGATTACTGAAGCGCCTCAGGCACCGTAACTTGATCCCCAACAAACAGGAAAACGGCGGGCAAGCATACCCAACTCTGGGAATACAGTACAAGAAACGAAAGGGAAAAGAAAGTACAGTAGACATCTCTTCCTAGCAAGCCGGAAACGGAAGTAGTAGGGGGAGGCGGGCGTGCAAACGCTTCCGGCGGAAATGTCGTTCGGCGCAGCTTCTCGGGCTTACCCGTCGCGAGCCTTCTCCTCCTTCCCGGCGGCTCATTGCGCGTCAAAGGCGAGGGGCGGAAAGGGAAGGGAGCCTCCGCCGGGTCCTCGCCGAGGGGCTCCCGCTGCTTAGACGGGCCCTCATCCCAGTTCCTCTGCTTCCGGCGGTGGCGGCGCTAACGAGGGAGAGAGAGCGAAAGACCGACCCCGGGACTTCCAGCCAGGAGAAGCCTCAACGGACGTGGCGGAGGCGGTGCCACCGCCGCCGGTTGTAACGCCGAGAGCCGCGGGAGAAACCGTGGGGCGCTTTTTCTGACGAGGCTCCCCCAAGTCTCCTCAGCCCGTCTCTGGGCCCCGCAGTGCGGGGGTTGGGGTTGGGGGTCGCGGGTGGAGGGCGGCGGGGGCGGCAGCAGGAGGAGTTGAGGCCCCCCCACACACACACCCGAGGACTCCCGCTTCGCCTCCCCCTCAGCTTGGCCCGCCCCCGTCCTGCCCCCTTGGCCGGTCTCCGGGCGACGGCTCTAACCCCCCTCCCCGGGCGGACTCTCGCGACCCCAGCATGGCCTCTTCGTCCGGCAACGACGACGACCTGACCATTCCCCGGGCGGCGATCAATAAGATGATCAAGGAGACGCTGCCCAACGTGCGAGTGGCCAACGACGCCCGGGAACTGGTAGTGAACTGCTGCACCGAGTTCATCCACCTGATCTCCTCCGAGGCCAACGAGATCTGCAACAAGTCCGAAAAGAAAACCATCTCCCCGGAGCACGTAATCCAAGGCAAGAGCCTCCGCCTGATGCGTTTTTTGCAAACCCCCTTCATCCACCCAGCGGCACCTTTCAGTTCCCATTTAGAGCAGAGGGCTTCACATTTGAAACTTCAGGTCTTTAGTGACAGAGATCTCAGAATTTGTTTAACAACGGTAGTAGTATCCACTGTGTCTTCTGCCTTGTCTTGCCTGACCTTTTTTCTGTGTGACAGAGATTAAAAGAGACCAATTTGCCTGAAGGACTCTTGAGGAACCATAGTTTCTGCAGTCACTGCCTATTATAGAGCTAATCCATAGTACATTTTACGCCTTCTAGCAGTTTTGTTGCAATAGTTAATTGTAAAAGTTGGTGCTTATTAAAGGCTAGACAGGCAGAAGCCATTTGGCAGGGATGTTATACCTTGATTGCAACACCTAAGTGCATTGGCAGGTGTATTTAACAGTGTCAGCAGAATTTCTAAGTAAGCCTGCTTGCAAATTGGAGCCATAATTCCATTATCATTAAGTGAATTTTGTTCCAGTTCGTTTTGAGAAAAGGCAAGTGTTTGCCATTGATTTGCAAAGTTACCTGTATAAAAAGCATGGAAATTACCGTGTTTCTCTGAAAATAAGACAGATTCTTATATTAATTTTTGCTCCAAAAAAGCATTAGGGCTTATTTTCAGGGGATGCTTTATTTTTTTTCATGTACAACAATCTACATTTATTCAAATACAGTCATGTCATCTTCTGGTTGCTGCACGGTGGTGCACAGTGGTGGACGGTGGGCTCTCACTTAACTAGGGCTTATTTTTGGGGGTAGGGCTTATATTATGAGCATCCTGAAAAATCATACTAGGGCTTATTTTCAGGTTAGGTCTTATTTTCGGGGAAACAAGGTAGTATCTACACATAATCTTGGGAAGCAATATCAAACCTACATATTTAAACAAGCTGGATTTTGTATTTAAAAACATAATCAACTTTGTTAAAAGAGAGAATGGTCTAATTGTTTTCTCTCACCTTTTATTTTCATTTATCTTGCTGCTGGAAAACTTTTTTCGTTTTCAGTTCCTCATTTTAGTACTTGTTTTTTCTTTAATCAGACAACATAATGTTTATTTGTTCCCCCCTCACAAACGCAAGGCAAATATGATTAAGTTATCACTTTCTTTTCTGTTTTCTAACAGAAACTCTTGTTTTTTTCTAAATATTAGTCATATTTACTGTAATATGCTTATCCGCCTTAACTGTTTATAGTAGTTTCTGTGGGTTTTTTCCCCCAGTCTTCAGAACAGCAGTAGTGAAAGTAACCAAGGTCTTGGTTTCATTCAGCTGTTATTTAGAAAGGCCCCTTTCAAGATAAAGAAATGTAAATGGTTTTAAATTTGGAAATAATGAGGTGGCGGGGGGGGGGAATTGCTATGAAAATAAGAACAGCCCTGCTGAATTTAAGACTTGTCCAGATTAATATCCCATTCTCCATACTGTACTAGGAAGTGATTTGCCATCGGAAGACTCAGAAGTAGGACATGAGAGGAATAGTACTTTCTAACTGTTGTTTCCTAGCAACTGGTAATAAGAGGTGTGGTGCCCCACATCTTGTGTATGACATTTAGCTACCATCATGTACACTAGTTGGTACTCACAGCCTTATCTTTCTTTAACCTCAGAATGTACACATCTACCTTAAGATGTGTGTATGTGTTCTATGGCGTCAAGTCAGAACCAACTTATATTAACCCTAATAGGGCTTTCAAGGTAATTGGCATATTTAAGGAGTGATTTTTCCATGGCTGAGTGGGGATTTAAACCCTGTTCTCCAGAATCCTAGTCTGTCACTCTATCCACTACACCCCACACTTTACGATGAATCTGTCTATAACAGCAAACCCAGGGCACATGCTGGTCTAAGAGTGCCATGTTGCTAGCATAAAAACATGACAGAATTAAGCAAAACTGAGTTTATTTGTGTCTAGAATCTCGTTAAGAACATAACTTTTATTCACCTTTTAAAAGAGAGATCTGAAAATAAAAGCTCAACATGTCAGGATGTTGAAATGTATGCATTCTTTCTGTGGTTTCACAGATTGATAGAATCAATTTGAATGTGCTTAGATACATGCCAACCCTGACTTCTACCAGATATTTAGGATGCAACTATACTGTTCAAAGAATCAAAGAGTTTTATTAGGTTATTCTTGTATTGATTTATGTCATGCACTCTTTGTGTTGCTGTTCCCATCCTTGTGGGGCAGCCTTTATTGAACTGGCTTGATTCAGTGCAGGGGACCACACCGCTCCTTAAATAGACCCGAGATTGGCACTTGTATCTACCCATGGGTCTGGCCTGGTCCTGCCTGCATTCTGTCCTTGTGCATAACCACCTTGTCTGAAGTTCATTTTTCTCTCTTTTATTCTAAGTAGTATAATGCTGCATCATTGTTGCAGACAGAAAGACTCCAGTATAGTGCTGTGCTGAAGTTGAACAGTTTTTTTAAATTAACAAAATAAACAGTTCAGACAGCAGGCATGATTGCTGATTTCCCAATGGGACAGAATCATGCATTACCTCAAACATACCACCAAGATGTCAGCACAAGGAAGGCCCCCACACATAGAATACAATGGCACGGCTGTTCATACAACCAAAAATGGGTCAAAAAACACTACGATGTATTTCAAATAAACAGCCACCCAACAGTTATTCAAAAAGAAACAATTCCTGCAAAAAAGTGCAAGTTTCTCCCATGTTTACAATAATATTGTGTAGTCAGGAAATTTTGAATAGATTTTCACTGTGCTATTGGAAGAGTATATTGCAATGTAGCCACACAGAACTATTCAAATTCATTTTAAAATATTTCTTCTGCTCTTTCTTACACCCTGTCTCCCAATCACTGACTAGTGAGTCATGGTAAATCTGTGAAAATGTTCCTCCCTAGTTTAGGGCTAGTGTTGACAGTAGAAGTCTACACTGTTCATATTGTCTTTGAATCTTTCCTTTAAGCACTAGATGGATTATACTCAAAAGAGATAAACTTGCTGTTAAATTTGGCTGGGTCTGGAACACAGCTGAACCATGGTGGATGCCTACTTCTGTTGCTTCAGGTTCAAGTGAAATTGTAGGGTGGGGAACTCAGCAAGGGAAAGACAGGAAGTGGAGAAATAAAGCAGATGGGTCATTCTCTGAGTAGTTTCTTGCTTGGCAGATTAGTGCGTACAATCCTCTTGTGTATTGTATCTTATTTTGTGCCAAGCATCAATTGGTTAAATAGTCAGACACATTTTACAGTATCTGTCTGTGTGTGTGTGTGCGCGCGCACGTGTGTGTTTACAGATGATTGTGCACAGATTGCTCAGTGTCACTGGTTGAAATCTTGTTTTTTATTATGGTAAATTGGACTAGAATAAGCCCATTGACTCTGGGGATTTGGTGAGTCAACTCCTCTGTAAATTCCACTGATTTTAATGAGCTTACACTAGTAAGATTTCAGCCAGTTTATTAACTACTTCAGTTTCCTGTCTTGATAGCCCATTAGTCATTGGCTCGTTTGAAAAAAGATTGCATAATTGTACTGTTTCCATTTATAATTCTTTTAAAAGTCTTTGCTAGGTTTTTAGCTTAATCTATTTTTGCTTACGTTTCTTCGCTCTCAGATAACCATAACCGCGATTATGTTCAGTCTTCATCTTTTTCTGCTGTCATCAGTTTTTCCCAGCATTATTGTAGTGGGGATTTTTTGAATAGAGTAAAATATATCCTGCTTGCATGTTATTCAGTCAGTGTCTTTTGTTGAATATTTGTCTGCTTTGGTTCAGCAGTACTGCAGTGTTAGAGACCCATTCACATATTTCTCTATACTGAACTCTTCCCTGTACAAGCACAGCAGAATAAAGCTCAATCAGAAGCTCTCTGCTTGATGTACTGAAATTCTTTTGAGCAGCTACATGGGTGTAACTCAACTAGGGTGGATAAAAATCAGTTTGATTTAAATCAAAAACGATTTTTTTGTTTAAATTAGTTAAAAAGCAGTTTGATTTAAATCAAAAACGATTTTTTGTTTAAATTAGTTAAAAAGTCCATTTTTTAAAATGTAAATTTGATTTAAATGCAATCTACCCTGAACTCAAGAGCACACCTGTCATAGCTGCAGTACTGCCAATAATACTTCTGCTGGTACGTTGTGTAATTGTTTGCAGTGAGAACTGCACAATAGGTTGTCCCATCCAGTTGTGCTGTCTGCATTGCCTGGGTGTAATGCTTGACAGATATGCCTGCACAACTTTATTTTATTTATTTATTCAACTTATATGCCACCCACTCTACCCAAAGGTCTCTGGGCAGCTCACAATTAAAAAACAATTAAAATACAATAAAAGATAAAACGATTAAAACACAATTAAAATACAATCTAAAAATTGCATGGTAACAAACAAGATTTCTGCTGTCGTCTTCTGCAAGCAGAAAGGTGTTTTGTTTTTTTTTACTAAAAGATTGTTTAATCATCTGGATCCATCACACCACACACTTATTTCCGGGATTTTTCAGAACTTCTTTGAATTTTGTGTTCTTTTATTATTATTATTAATTCTCCAGAGTCTTGTAAGTTCCCAGTGGAGTATAGCAGTTAGTAATGTGTTGATTGGAGTCATCATTGGTGACAGGTAACGGTTGTATAAATGCAGACAGACCTGAGAGCAGATCTTTTTTGGGGAAGGTATACATATGCTGTCCTTGGCTGACAAGAAGCTCCTTGGAGAGCACTACCCTGTTTCCCCAAAAATAAGGCCTAACCTGAAAATAAGCCCTAGTATGATTTTTCAGGATGCTCATAATATAAGCCCTACTCCCAAAATGAGCCCCAATTAAGTGAAACCTCACCCTCCAACATTGTGCAACAACCAGAAGAAGATGACATGACTGTATTTGAGTAAATGTAGATTGTTGTACATGAAAACAATTAAATATCCCCTGAAACTAAGCCCTAATGCATATTTGGAGCAAAATTAATATAAGACCCTGTCTTATTTTCAGGGAAACACGGTAGCTTGATGCCAGTGGGATGTAGTGGGTAGTGTTGGACCAGGATTCAGGAGATCTGGGTTTGAAACATTGCTTGGCCATGGCAATTCTCTGTGGGTGTCAGTGGTAAACCCTGAATATTCCACATGCCTCCAAAACCCTGGCCTGGTCAGAAGTGACTTGATGGCACACAACAACAACAAAACTTGTGCAAAAGTCATATATAGGTTTTTCCAGTAACCCTGAGATCACCTAGTGCCTTAAAAAGGCTATTACACCCAAATAGTTTATGTACCTACTCATCAAGGGAGTGGAGTTGGATAGGCGAGGTTGATGTTTCGTTGCCAAAAGTAAATCTTATTTTTTTTCTTTTTGATCCACAGCACTAGAAAGTTTGGGGTTTGGTTCCTATATCAGTGAAGTAAAAGAAGTCTTACAAGAATGCAAAACAGTAGCACTAAAAAGAAGAAAGGCCAATTCACGTTTGGAAAATCTTGGCATTCCTGAGGAAGAGCTCCTAAGGCAGCAACAATTGTTAATTGCACAAGTAAGTACAGAGATATTACAGAAAAACTACCTATAAAATGCTTAATTTTTTTACCTCGACAACTGAATAGTAGGAACAAAACGTTCAAGATAGGTCAGTTAAAATGATTTACTTCTAGAGCAGTGGTGGCAAACCTTTCTGGGCTTGCGTGCCCAAACTTGGGGGGAAAAACAGCGGGTGGTGTGCCGCGGCAGCAGCAGAACCGGAAGTGATGGCGGCAGAACTGGAAGTGGCAGCGCAAGGGGGAATCCCGGCACGGAGGTGCCTCAAGACCCCACTCCAGATCCGCCTGCCGAAGCACCAGCACCACGGCTGCAGCTGCCTTCTCAGGTTTGGCTGCGTGTTTGTGGGGGGTGAGTAGTGATCCAGCAGCTTATGGCTCATGTCCTGGCAGAAAGGGCTCCGTGTGTCAGCTGTGGACATGTGCCGTAGGTTCGCCATCACTGTTCTAGAGGGATAGACATTCTAGACAGCTTTTTAAAAACAGTCTTTTAATATCTTAAACATTAATACATCTTAGTCCAGTGTTTTTTGTTCTGTTCTTACTTAATGTCTCCTTTTGATAAGCAAAGGAGATGTGTGGCTTTTTTGATTTTTTTCCCCCCAGCCCCATCGTTCCGATGGAGCTGGCTGTGGGATGTGTGTGTGTTTGATTTCCCCCCTCCCCCAGCCCCATGGCATTCCGATGGGGCTGGCTGGGGGGGGGGTTTATTCTTTTCCCCAGCCCCATCACATTCCAGTGGAGCTGGCTGTGGGGTGTGTGTATTTTTTCCCCAGCCCAGTGCCTTCTGATGGGGCTTGCTGTCTTGTTTATTTTTGGTTTTTTTTAAAAGCCCCAGTACCTTCTGATGGGGCTTGCTGTGTAGGTTTTTTTTGGGGGGGGAATGTTGCCAGAATGGATTAATTGTGTTCCAATGCATTCCTATGGGGAATGGTGCTTTGACTTACGACCATTTCGAGTTACGCCCATCTTCTGTAACGGATTATGGTCGTAAGTCGAAGCACCACTGTATTGAGTAATTTTTCAAAGAGCACTGAAGCATATATCAACATATCCACTGAAATCTTGCTAAGTGCTCCTGGAAAGCCACAGTCCACTGGTTGAAATGCACCAGGTCAGTCTGCCTAATTCTGTAAGATTTCACAGTGTTATCCAGAACTGGACAGTGTAAATGTTAAAATTACGGAAGTTACTTTTATGTTGTTTTCTTTCTGTCATTTTTAGTAAGTCTGAATTAGTTCAATATGGAATGAAAATGAATAGGACTATGAAGATGTACAGTTTATTTGCCTAGATTAGAAATGTTCCTCAAAGAATTGTGTGAAATACAAAGGCAAGAAATAATGGCTAAAACCCTTTCACTTAGCGTAGTAAATTCTACTAGAGTAAGTCCATCAAATAAATGGGGGTTTGGTGAGTGAACTCCTCCATTGATTCAAATGGACCTACTGTAGACACAGCTTACTTTAGCATAGTAAGCCACAACTAGAGTCGGTGCATTTGAATCAATGGAAGTTATGGAAAAATTTATTTACCAAATTCCATTGATTTGATGGGCCTACTCTTGTGTGATTTACTACACAAAGTACAGTGGTGCCTCGCATAACGATGTTAATTGGTTCCAAAAAAACCATCGCTATGGGAAACATCGTTATGCGAAACACCATTTCCCATAGGAATGCATTGAAAACCGGTTAATCCGTTCCAATAGGAACGGATTGCCATCCTTAAGCGAAAAAACCCATAGGAAACATTGTTAAGCGATACAATGTTTCCTCCATTGGAAGCCTATTCAATGCATTTCAATGGTTTAGCGAAGTCAATTTTTGCAAATTTATGTGTCTCATAAAAGGGTCAAAAATGGTTTTAAATGCTTGGAATAGCTTCTGCACCTTCTAAAACGGGTGCAAACTTAATTTGGCTTTGATCTGACTTTTCGTTAATTTTTGCTGAATTGTTTCTTTTGACAGCTGTCAACGTAGCTTGCACACGATTTAGAAGGTCCTCTAACGAACCCAAGCATTTAAAGCAGTTGCTGACTTTTCGTTAATTTTTTGTGAATTTTTTTCTCCCCCATAGGAAACAATGGAGCTGTCAAATTTTGACAGCTCCATTGTTTCCTATGGGGGAGGAAAAAAATCAGCAAAAATTAACGAAAAGTCAGATCAAAGCCAAATTATGTTTGCACCCATTTTAGAAGGTGTTCTAACGAATCCAGGCATTTAGAACTGTTTTGACCATTTTAAGACACTTTTAAAAATGGAAAAACAAACATCGTTATGTGAAGCAGGGGACCTAAAAACGCATTCGCTATGTGAAGCATGGCCCCAAACTTCACTAAGCGAAAATCACCCATAGGAAACATCGTTAAATGGTGCATATTATTTTCTTTAAAAACCCATCGTTATGCGAATTCATCACTAAATGAGGCAATCGTTAAGCGAGGCACCACTGTAATAGGATTTTAGTTATTAAGCCTGCTCAGAATTCAGCAGCATTTACTCCAAGATAAGCATATACATGTTTGCAGCCTAATTCAGTTGGCGTTAAAAAATTGCTAAGATTTTTAAGAGTAGGTGTGAGGACTTTCCATGCCAAATAATTTTAAGTGTAATTATTTCATTATTTTAGATTTTCCATATTTTTACAGATAGGTCATTTAAAAATATAACACATGCTAAAACATGTACAGTGGTAACTTTTTTCAGAAACAAATGAGAAAAAAATTCAATTTGATAACACTTTCTGTCCTCTGTTTCTATACAAAAACAGCCTAAAAATAAACGCATGCTATGGTTAGCCTTAGTTTCCCCTTGCTGATTAATTCTTCACATATATAGATTTTTCATTTTCTCTATATCCATGTTTAAAAACCCTCCTGTTTGGGATAACCCATCATACATCTGAAGAAGTAGATCTGAGCCCACAGAAGCTTATGTATCTTTAAGATGCTGCAAGACTTTTCATTTCTCTCTTAGAAATTGTGACTAAGAGTAACCTGTATGTTAATTTTCACAGTTGCCTTCTAGGAATGGGATATGGCAGGTCTTTAGAACAGTTCCTCTCTCCTTCAGAAGCACACAAATCACAGAGTTTCAGAATTAGTGTGTGAAATGAGATGTTGCAAGAGACGAACAAAATGTTGTGAAATATGGAATTTAATAAATAGATCTGCCAGTAAGAGTTCAAGCTCTTGTAAAAACGGCAAGCAGAAGGGCAATCACATGAGCGGTTTTCACTGTGACCTAATTGGACACAACTGAAGATGTGACAGACTACCTGCCAGATAGTGGATACTGCACATGCAATATTGCCCATTTGCACTCTGCAGTTCCAGCACAATTCTGGCTGATATGTTTGCTTGACTGCTCCTGCTACTCTGTAGTTCTTATATCATTTTGATAAAGAGAATTGAAGCTAGAAAGATAAAAGGGGTACTGAGCTTCTATTTCCTAAGTTGAAAGGGAAAATGTGGGGACAACTGACAGCATAGCGGTATGATGGTACAACATAGGAAGGGGAAAGCAAATTCCTTGTGCTGTGCATTTGGAGGCTGTGTTGTCAACTGCCAGTTGAAGATTGTCTCTCCCAGCTAATCTGAAAAATACAGCATGACAGGAGAGTTATCATTCTTCACTTGCAAGTTCTCCCTGTGCTATCTGGAAGAGACTCCTTTCTTACCATTGTTAGGTTTAACATTCGTTCCAAATTATGTGAGTCTCTTTGTCTTTTTTAAACACAGGAAAGCCATGTTTAACACAATGGGAAAGCATCTATGGATGCAGAACCTTTGAAGATACTTGTCTGTCCAATTGCATGACAATGTTTGTTGGAAGGAATTAGCTTAGAACCAAACATTCTGCATGACATACTGAATTTTTTGTGTGCTTCTTTTCAGTTGCAGTGGACTCTCGAACAAAGGTCCCTAGCTATGGAAATTCCAAGGTACAAAAAGCTCCGGCCGCAAAATTTTAGTTCGACTTGCGGCCAGAGCTTCGACCTACAAAATGCAGGGGGAAAGGGCAGGAAATTCAAAGCAGCTCCCCGCTGTCCTCTTGTCTCCTGTCCCTGGTGCCCTCTGCCTCCTGAGGAGGCAGAGGGCACCAGGGACAGGAGACAGAGGGCAGCGGGTGCAGCTTTCGAAGCTTTCGGCTTGCAAGCCAAAAGCCGCTCCACCCCCGCTGCTGGCTTTCGGGGCTTAGAAAGTTGCACCCACTGCCCTCTCGTCTCCTGTGCCTGGTGCCCTCTGCCTCAGGCAGGAGACAAGAGGGCAGTGGGTGCAGCTTTCTAAGTCCCAAGAGCTGAAAGCTGGCAGCGGGCGCAGAGTGGCTTTCGGCTTCCCGGGGCTCCAAAGCTGCATCCGCTGCCCTCTGTCACGTGTCCCCAGTGCCCTCTGCCTCCTGTTCCTGCGGGGACAGAAGGCAGAGGGCACCGGGTGCAGCTTTGGAAGCCCAGGATTTTATTTCTTTGGCTGGAATGGATTAAATGGTTTTCAGTGAATTCCTATGGGAAATGGACCCTCGACGTACGGAATTTTCAACCTGTGGCCACCGTTCCAGTACGGATTTATTCTGTAAGTCGAGGGTCCACTGTATTTAAAACAGAACCCCAAAAGCCATGTAGAAAACAGCCTAAAAAGCCAAATGTTTATTTAATTTACAAGTTTTATACCCTGAACGTCATTGCCCTTGATGGGAAGTTTGCATTTCTATTTGACAACTGGTTGCTAAGTGCCACATCCATGCAGTCCTCTATAATGTCATTAGAATACAGTGCTTGGAAAGTGACCTTTTTGGGGGGCGTCAACTCTCAGATTCTTCCAGCTGGCCTTGCCTCTGGCTGTACTGAAAGCTGCAGTCCCAAAAGTCCTATTTGCAAGCTATGCAGTTGAGGCTAGAGGCTCTGAACCGTTGATTTTGTGCCTGCAGGCGAAACAGCAGCAGGCAGAGCTGGCTCATCAGGAGTGGCTACAGGTGCAACAAGCAGCCCAGCAAGCTCAACTCGCCGCTGCCTCAGCCAGTGCCTCCAACCAGGCAGGATCTTCTCAAGATGAGGATGATGATGATGACATCTGAAGATTTTCCCGGCTGGATTGTGACCCTTTCAAAGAATATTTGTCCTACACAACAAAACCAGTGAAATGAATGCTTGCCTGTAACTTTGTCTGCAACTCGGACCGGCCATTGGTATTTTAGGGATGTCTCCTGTTGTGTGCTGTACATGTCAAAACTGTCTCTTTGAACTCTTGGAGATTTAAGGTTCAGTATCATATCAACTTTGGATTTTTAAATGGTGTTTATGGAAATTTTAGATAGGTGTGTGTCATTTATTTGATCAGCAAACAGTGTTACAATAAAGTTTATAAAATATAGCAGAATTTATACAGAGGCTCTAAATTCACATTTGCATCTCTCTTCCCTTTTAACCACAAAATCTTATGTAAAATTTTTAATTTGTTTCTTTTTGGAATGGGTGAGGCATTCACTCTGCTTTGAGTAGAAAAAAATAAAGAGATCAGCATACTTTGATCTTAATTCCTCGTCTTTTAAAATAAGAGATCAAGCTGTGGCAATAAATATATGCTCGAGTACCATCCATCTGAAATGATACATTTTTGCCAGACCAGGAAAATGTATATTTAATAGGAATTGTACAAATTCAGTTTTTTTTTTTTTGTATGGGGTTAAAAAAATAAAATAAAACCCGAGAATTTACTATGGTATCCATTCAGTATCGTGAAAAAAATGAATTTTTTGTTTCAAACATTGCCATCTTGTGGAACTAAAACTATCCTTGATTCACGACAGTTTAATTTTAACTCTAGATGAGATTACATACATAGTCTAAACAAGTTTATTGTCATAGTGTTTGAGTGGAAAGGTGGGGTTTGGTAGGACAGAGTTTTTTGAATTCAGTTTTCATTGGGAAATACGTCAGGCCTAGGACAGCAAATGATAAAACTGAGGAGCATATTCATAGTGATAGGAATCTTTATTTAACCCCAGTTACTTATTGTTGGCACAATATTAACAGTTTTCAGACTGGTGTGGCACTAGGTAAGCTTTATCTTGTGAAACTGACAGTTTCTACCCTCAAGTACTAGTTTTAGGTGATCAGATTCCACAATTAGCTTGGTAACTGAGCCCATAGATTGACCAACAACCTAAATGAAGAAGAAATTAATTTGGGATGTGATGAAAATAGATTTTGCTTTTCTACAGCTGCGCTTAAATACATATTTGTGTTGAAATCAAGAACATTTTCAAATACAAAAATATACTTGAAGATCCATCAACTTATTTTTCTGGTACTTTCTTTTGACGGAAGAAGATAGATTCTCATGGCTTGCATATTAATACATTATCAGCATTAGCAAACTGCAAAGATGTTAGATGTTTTAATATGGCCTTGATGGCCATTAAAGATTGTATGCAAGATCAGTTTGGTAAAAAGTCTTGTCTGAAGTGGAGAACTAAACTGGATATCAAATTAAGATCTTGAAGTGCAGTTAAAGTTAAAGAGGGTTCATCTGCAGTAACTTGTACCCTAATATGTATGCTGGTGGATGAGAGATATGTTAGTTTGAATTTTAAGCTGAAACTTAAGCAGGAAAAGTATTGGAACAAGATCTGATTAAAGATCTAGTCTTTATGAAGGTTGAAGTACCAAAGGTAGAAACACTAGGCTAGAGAAACCATGTTAATGTGCAGTGTTGGCTTTTCTAATTTGTACTGTAACACCCTTACCCTTCATCTTTTAAATGATTATTTTTATTTCTTTTTAAGCAAGCAAAACAGATACACTTTCACACTTTATTTTTTTCTGATGCAGAATTCAGGTTAATATTTAACTGCATCTGGTATGTATAATAATATGTTTGAATCCCTGTGACCTTTCCGTTGGATATTGATGTGCTTTTTCATATGCTGTACTCCTTGAGCAATAAAATTCAAATGTGTTTTTATATTTAATGTTTGAACAGTCAACTTTCATTCACTTTTTCATAGAAAAATATAATTTTGTTCTGATTTAGACAAACTACATGAACTGTTGCAGTCAAGATGAGTAGGAAAAGGTCTTGTAATAGCTCTTACCAGCTTTTCTTCTGCAATCAGGATAATTTTCTGCTTATTCTTCCTGTCAATTTTGCCTAATTTCATCACAGGTCTTTTAGAACAAAAATCTAGGTCAGCCTTTCCAATTCAAGATGTCTTTATGTTTTCTGCCAATAATAGATCTGAGAGATGAGAATCTTAAACCTACGGAAGGAACCATCTACCTTTAATCACATAAGTTGAGTTTATACTGAATATTTGAGAATTTAAGCAATCAGCTTTATTTAGGAATTTTTTGAAAAGTTGCGCCTTATTTAGGAATTCCTAGATGTAGTCTAGCACATGGAGAATTCAGCATGCAGGAACTATTTTTTAATAAATAATAAAAGCAATTCCTGCTGTACAAAAATACCTGTAGGGTCCATTTTCCTATCAAAAAGAGTAGATATCTTTGGTATGTAGTGCTAGGCCAGCGACTCTTTCTTTCACCTGTGGACTATGACAAGGCTCTTCTGAAGATTTCTGTACTTTCTTCCATCAGTCCTATTACAGTGGTGCCTTGCAAGACAGTGTTAATTCATTCCGCAAAAATCGCTGTCTTGCGAAAACATCGTCTTGCGAAATGTGGTTCCCCATTGGAATACATTGAAATCTATTTAATGTGTTCCAGTGGAGGAAAAATTGTCATCTTGCAAAAATTGTCCATAGAAAAAGTCTTGTGAAACATGGTTCCCCCGTTGGAATGCATTGAAATCTATTTAATGCGTTCCAACAGGGAAAACCTGTCTTTGCGAAGCATCGGTCTTTAAAAAAAAAGTCTTGCAAAGCACAGACCCAAACATCGTCTAGCAAAAATCACCCATAGGAAAAACCATTTTGCGAAGCACAACAGCGATCGCAAAAACCCATCGTCTTGCGGATTAATCGTCCTGCGAGGCAATCGTCTTGTGAGGCACCACTGTATTTGGTCTTGGTGGCTCAGGGATAATTTACAAGTGGTGTTGTAATGAGTTCTCTATGTGCTGCAAGGCTGTAGAAGTAAATTACAAATAGAAGTAGTAAATAACAAAATAGAAATAGAATGAAATGAGAAAGGTAAAGTGTTTTTTGAATGGGTGCTATAGAATAAATTTCAGAAAGTCCTTACCTTTGTCAAAGCTGCATTTAAAGAACTTCAGATTATGATCCCAATAACGTGTTTGAAAGAAGGTACTGGGTGATTTAAATCTTAGGGACTTGTATTCCAAAGTATGTAGATACTGAATGTATGTCTTCTTGTTTGTCTCACTTAGACTTTTCAGATATCTTCAACACAGAAAATGTGAGCTTTTCATCTAGATAGTGTTTAGTTGCAAATATTTTTATTTCCAGAGCTGGAGCATGTGTCAACAGATGTATATTGATTGCCTTATACCTCGGAGAACATTACACTTCTATTAAACCTTACATACTAGCAGAGCTGGAAAGTAATTACTTTGAAACAATTAGTAATGTAGTAATTGCAAAGTTACTTTATAGACATAAAAAACAAAGCAAAGTGTGCTGCTTATATACTACTTCATAGCACTTAAAGCACTCTCTGGACAGTTTGCAACATAATTATGCAGGCTACACATTGCAAGCTGCGAACTCAGTTTACCAACCTTGGAAGGAGGGAAGGCTGAGTAAACATCGAGCTGGATACCTGAATCTGTTGGGATTGAACTCAGGTAATGAACAGAGTCTTGGCTGCAGTAATGCAATTTAACCACTGCACCACAAAGTTCCGAACATTTAAGAAGTGAAACATATAACACCTAAGTGTTACATCTTATTCTCAACACTTTCAAAAGTCATTTTAAAGGCATTTTTGAGTTCCTTTGAAGGTATCGTTCAGGTTTTATTTATCTCTTACCAAGCCTAAGTGGTAAGGAAAGTTTTATTTGGTTTTATCTTATAGATATTTCCAGTATGCAATATCTGAATTAGCCACCAGATGGTATTGCACTGTATTTTTCTGATCTGTTGATACCATCAGCACAATGGCTAAAATCTAGTGGTATACTACAACTAGTGTGAGCTTATTGAACCAGTGGAACTCACATGAGAGTTGACTCAGCAAATCCCTGCTGATTGAGTAGGCCTACTTTAGTTGTGACTTACTGCTGGACTTCAGCCAACATACAGTTAAAACACAAAGGACTGAAGTACTTGCACAGCTGAAATAATGGTAAAGATAATGGCAATCCAGATGTCAAGCACTGCAAGATCTGGCTTTTAAAATGCATTGTTCTGAGCTCTGATATTTACAATAGCATTCCATTTTTGTTACATGTACAGTAATTAGTAACAAAAGGTTTGGTTTGGGTTTTTTGCTTTGCTTTGCGAAAGGAAGTGTAATGTTTCAAATGGGGGGCAACAAAAACTTTAACTTGAAGTCATGAAGCAGAACAGCAGGTTGGATGTTTCTGGAAAGGGTAATGAGTGACAAAGAAATTAAGAGTCTAGGGTGTATAGTTTATTGTGGAGATAAACAGAATAATTGTATATGGTATTTACGCTAGAGTAGCAATTGGTTGGTTAATGTTTTAGACAAGGCAGGATGGGGTAGAAAGCTGCACCCACTGTCCTCTCCTTAAGAGTTGTGGAGATCACACCGAATGGCATAGTAGACCTCCAAACGCAATCCTATTCAGCCTGCTCCAGCCTTTTTATTACTGCATTTCATGTAGGTCTGGCTGATACATCTATCCATTTGCTTCTATTGATAAAACTTGAGTTTTGTGGCTATTATAGATAATGCAAAGTGTCTGAGGCCAATTTGGTCTTGAATGGGCAGTCAAGGGACATTACCTTTAAAGAATATCTGTTCCTGGCTTAGAAAGTGTTGAGATTTGGGGGCGGGGTTGCTATGTATTCAGCCTAGCTCTCTGTTCTTTTGGACTCTGCTAATACCTGGAGAGCAGCTTCAAAACTCTCTCTCTCTCTCTCTCTCTCTCTCTCGGCAACTCCCAGGATCCCCCATGCTGGCTGGGGGATTCTGGGAGTTGTAATCTGAAACCAGAAACACTTCCAGGTTTGCAATGGAAAGGGGACGTGGTGGTGCTGCGGGTTAAACTGCAAAACCTCTGGGCTGCAAGGTTGCAAGATCAGCAGTTTGAATCCACGTGACAGAGTGAGCTCCCGTCGCTTGTCCCAGTTCCTGCCAACCTAGCAGTTCAAAAGCATGTAAAATCGGAGTAGATAGATACCACTACAGTGGGAAGGTAACAGTGTTCTGTGTCTAGTTGCGCTGGCCACACGTAACTAGGGAAACTGTCTACGGACAAACGCTGGCTCCATGGCTTGGAAACGGATGAGCACCACCTCCTAGAGTTGGATACGACTAGACAATTGTCAAGGGGAACCGTACCTTACCTTTGCAATGGCAATGGTCATAATGGCTGCTTGAACTTCCATCTGTGCTCTAGCTCATTGGTTCTTAACCTTTGTTACTCAGATGTTTTTGGACTGCAACTTCCAGAAGCCTTCACCATCAGCTCTGCTGGCTGGGGTTTCTCGGAGTTGCAGTTCAAAAACACCTGAGTAACAAAGGTTAAGAACCACTGCTCTAGCTGCTGTTCTGTAGGTATGGGAAGCAGCTGGTTGTGAGTGCAACTGGTGCCTAAGGACTGCTCATGGAACAGCAAGAGAGGGAAATGTTAAGTCACTCCTTGCCATCGCTATGTCCTTCCAAGACAGCAACTACTCATGATGCTAGGGTCAGTAGCAATGACACTTGAAAAAGTTTGACCATCAGAGCTGTCCATTTCAGATTGTCTAGGAGAGCAAGGAAAGGTTGGTGATGATGTCCTTTCTACCAAGCCCTTTACTTTGGAAGACAGGGGATACAGGAATCTGCTTTATATTGGCTGAAATTTTGTTGCTTTTAGTAATAAGTCATATTAGAGCAGGCCCATTCAATTGGTAGGGATTTAAGGAATCAACTGTGCATAAGTTTCATTGATTCAAACGAGCAGGCCCATTCAATTGGTAGGGATTTAGGGAATCAACTGTGCCATAGGTTTCATTGATTCAAATGAGCCTACACTAGTTGTGACTTACTTTCATGTAGTGAGTAGCAACAAGAGTGGGCCCATTTTAATCAGTGGAATTTAAGGAAGAGTTGATTTATCAGCCATAGGTTTCATTGATTCAAATGAGCCTACACTAGTTGTGACTTACTTTCATGTAGTGAGTAGCAACAAGAGTGGGCCCATTTTAATCAGTGGAATTTAAGGAAGAGTTGATTAAATCCCCTCTGGTTCAATGGACCTACTCTAGAGCTACTTACTAATATAAGCAATAGGATTTAATTGAGTCAGCCTACTGATTGTCTAGTTCAACACCACTTAATCTGACAGGACTTTCTGGGGTCTTTCCTAGCACTTCCGACAACAATAGGACCTTCTGCATGCAAGTCCTGTGCTCCTGGGTCCCTCTTCCAAATAAGTAAGTTCTTCACATTTTAGATAAGTTACAAATGTGTTGTAGTTCTTTACTGTTGCTTTTTCAGAATACACAACCCAGTTTGCACATCTGTATTCCCAGTGGCTCTTCCATTGCCTCTCCATTTGTTTCTTTGGAACAATTATGCATGTAGAATTTGATCTTCATATAGTGATACTTATATTTTCAGTGCTGAGAAACCCTCATCATGAAGGCTCTTTAGGGCAGCAGCATCAGATAACAAAGGCAAGGGTTGGTAAAACATTTATTGAATTGGGCACAAGGACCACACTTTTTTTTACAACTGAAATAACAGCATCAAACATTTCAAATAAAATGAAAATGCTATAGTATGAAAAATAGAAACTAACATTTACATTTTGGGCACAAGGACCACACTTTTTTTTACAACTGAAATAACAGCATCAAATGTTTCAAATAAAA